AATCACATTTCAGCCTGCTGAAAAGTTCTCTAAGTAGTGGAAAAATCTAGAAACATTGTAGTCGACCCGTCTTCGTAACAATATGTAAAAATATATATTTTTTAATTGTAATGTAAAAAAAAATCAAGATTCTGAAATAGTTTTTTTATTAAAACAATAGGCATTTTGTATTTGTAAACATATTAGAATAATCAGAAAATAAAGAAATATATATGTATACTACGCCTAAATTATCAAATACGGACAGCAAAAAGAGAAGATCCCATCGAAGTGAGAAAAAAGGCGAGTCTGTCCGGAAATCGTTAAAACGATTTGTCTGTGGTGCTGTTGTTTGTGATTCGACAATTACAATATATTTTGGAGGAAACCCATATAGATACAATAATAAAATAAAATGTCTTGCTGCATTTATAGTAATTATAGTAGATACTTGTACATTTAGCAGTGGCTTCGTGGCTTGAGCGTGCGACTTTCAACCTCGAGGTTCGTTCGTCCTACTCGGCTGGGTACCAATGGACCTTTATTTCTATGTTCATAATAAACACTGGCTTGTCAGGCACACAAGGCTCATCAGATGAGACCAGAAATCCGAGGACAACTCATAGAATAGTCACGTTAGAGGTTGTAACGCCACTGGTTATGATTTTACTTATATTATTCGGTATTCCACCCAAACTATCAAAGATCGTAACTAGAGTGTATAGTTAGAGGTATAAAACTGAAGTTAAGATCTTGTAGAGAAACAATTTTAATTAAATTTGTAATAAAGAGGAAAGAGCAGTGTTGGCCTGGTGGCTTCAGCGTGCGACTCTCATCCCTGAGGTCGTAGGTTCGATCCCCGGCTGTGCACCAATTTACTTTATTTCTATGTGCGCAATTAATATTAACTCGAACGGCGAAGGAACACGATCGTGAGAAACAGATGGGTCCTTTTAGAAAAAAAAAGTCGACGGCGTGTGTCAGTCACTGGAGGCTGATCACCTACGAGCGTATTAAATTGAAAAATGATCATGAAACAGATTCAGAAATCTAATGCCCAGACTTAAAGAGGTTGTAGCGCCACTGATTATTATTATTATTAATAAAGAGTTTCCTCTTTAATCATAATAATAATAACAAGATAAAGAAATATATATATTTAGTTTGTTTATACAATAATTTGTTTCCAATATAGATACTGCAATACAATGTGGATAAGTTGCTAATTGTAAAAAAACAACGTTACTTGCAACATCGCACTGTCAAAAAAAAAGGAAAAATTCCAAAATGGCGCCCGCGTCTCGGCGGGAAAATTTCGCGGTATAATATTTTCACCGCAGCGAAGCGTGGGTTGCCACTAATTGGATTCCTGTTACAATAAACGCGTCAACCCCTCGTTGAAAAAACCACCCCTATTTAAAACTTTTTAGATAAAGCGAAATAAAAACAAAAGGCAATTTTGATTATCTTCTGGACGTCGCTTTAAATTGTGTTGCAAATACTATTTATTAAGTTGTACCATTAACATTCGAAACCATAACCATAAACATTCGCAGTCGAATGCATATTATAATGAGGTTTTAAAAAACTAAATTAACATTATTTCCCACTTTAAACTTTTCCGGTAACTATTATTGTGGAACTCACAGATTATTAAGGTTTGTTATTCTATTAATAGTTTTATGTGTACTTTAAAAAAATAGTTTTAAAAGTATCCATGTAGAATATTATCATTATTTTATTTCTTATACGTTTTCGCAATCTAATGTACGTCAAATTTAACTCATCTCAACGGATATCGCCCAGTCCCAATAAATACTAAATACATACCAACTATAACGACTATTTATCTACTTTCGGCAGGAAATGAGCTTTTAAAAGCACTCCTTCATATGACAAATGCCCCATTTCTTACATAGAATCCATCATAAGGAGTAAAACAATAGAAGAGTGGCGGGAAAGATACAAAATAATATTACTAACATAAATGAATGGAACTTCGATAAAGGAAATTTTTTGTCATTATTTTATATTCTAGAGGACGTAGACTGGAGAGAGTTACTTGCTATTGATGATGTCGATGAAGCGGTGGAACATTTTAATAGCATTCTATATAGCTCTTTTGATCAATGTTTTCCTAGAAAATTTCGAAAGTTAACTAAACAAAGGGTCTACCCTGTATATTTTAATAATGAAATCATCGCTAAATTAAGAACTAAAGCGCAGCTCCATTGGCAGTGGAAATTTCTTAATGATAATAACGCGTGTTTAGAATTTAAACGTCTTAGGTCAATCATTAAGAACGACATTCGCAAAGCTAACATTAACTATTTACATACTATCTCATTAAATTTGGTTAATAAACCTACGCAATTTTGGCAATATATTCGTTCTCTTAGAAACCCAAAAGCTAAAGAGTCTGCAATTTCTTATAATGATGTTGAATATTATGGTTGTGACGCGGCAGAGGCATTTGCTAGTCACTTTAAATCGGTATTTTTGGCAGATCACCCGAAACTTATTCCAGAAACTGCCAATCGTAACCCAAAAGCATACTCTAATCATTTTGATATCAAAAATTTCGAAACAGAAGTTATTATGCGTAGTGTAAATAAACTAAAATCTAATACACCTCCGGGTCCAGATATGATTCCGGCTTATATAATTAAAGGACTGGCAGAATATTTAATATTGCCTATATCGCATATTTTCAATATTATTTTATATTCAGGGGTCTACCCAACGTTATGGAAGACATCCCGCGTGACCCCAGTTCCTAAAGCTGATTGTAGAAGCAGAGCTGAAAACTACAGGCCTATCGCGATTCTGTGTACGCTGGCGAAGGTGTTTGAAATGTCCTTACACTCGCTAATGTTGCCTAAATGCATTCCCCACATCACTCCTTGCCAGCACGCTTTTCTTCCACGCAGATCAGTTAATTCTAATCTATTGACTTTGGCTGACATAGTATCGCGTTAAATTGATAGGCGGTGTCAGGTGGATGTAGTATATTTGGATTTTCACAAAGCGTTTGATCGAGTAGACAACGACATTCTTCTCCAAAAGTTGGCCGCAATTGGGTGTGGACCTATTCTGCTTAAGTTTTTCTCTAGTTACCTGTCAAATCGTAACCAATATGTTAAATATGGACAATATATCTCGCAGCCTTATCCAACAATTTCTGGTATTAGCCAGGGTTCAAACCTGGGACCGTTGCTATTTTTAATAATGATTAACGACCTTCCAAGCGTTATCAAATATTCCAAAATACTATTATTTGCTGACGACGTTAAGGTCTTTAAAATAGTTGAGACTGACAATGATCGTCTGTGTATGCAACTTGATTTGGATGAACTGCTGCATTGGAGTGAATTAAATAAACTCCAATTCAACTATGACAAATGTGAAGTGATGACCTTTAGTGCCTCTCCGAATAAAATACTCTGCGACTATAGCATAGGATCGAAAGTTATTAGGCGCGTAGACAGAGTCCGCAACTTGGGTGTCCAGTTTGTACCCGATCTTTCATTTGCGGAGCATATTCGGACGATTACGGATGCTGCTTTTAGGAGATTAGGGTTTGTCCTGCGAAATTCGGCTGGTCTGACGGACACTGCCACTAGGGTGCTATATTCATCATTAGTAAGGCCAATTCTCGAAACCAGCTGCGTCATATGGTCCCCTTATGAAAGGTATTATGGGGATATGATTGAACGAGTTCAAAAGAAGTTCCTGAGAAATCTGTATAAAAGAAGATACAATTTCTTTCCTTACCTCTACCCTACTAAGTTCTTGATGGGGGTGTTAGGGTATAATTCATTAGAGCTTCGTAGGGATTTTTCGGTGGTCAGGTTTGGTTTGAGTGTAATTAAGAATGAAACGGAAAGCGCATACTTGCTGGGAGAGATCATGAGGCTATACGTCCCGGACAAATATTGCCGCTGCCGGAAACATAACCTTTTCGCTGTGCGTTCGGCTCGCACTGTCCAGCGACAACAAGCGCCCATTCCCCGGCTACTCTCACTGCTTAATGGGTTTCTCGACTCTTCACCGGAGAGCGACCTGTTTGGGAAGCTTATGGGGGTGGTATACTGGGCTTTCAGAGTGTACCTGGAGGGGATAAGAGGGTAATACTACCCTGTATTGTAAATCTTAATTGTATTTTATTGTATTGTTTATTGTTTTTAGTCTAAGTTTGGCCATTGTGCTGTTATTAAATAAATAAATAAATAAATAAATAATAAATAAAAAAAAATAAATAAATAAATAAATAAATAAATAAATAAATAAATAAATAAATAAAATGTTTTATATCGGACAGCACATAAAATAATTAAAAGTAAAAGACATACTGCATGAATGGTCAAAATTATGATAGGCCCTTTGGCACAATACCTACATCGATTTAAACTTCGGGCCAGGGCAATATGCAGCTGCAATAACATTAATGAACAAACATCGCTGCACATGCTGGTGGACTGTCGGGCGTATGGGTATCCAGGTACTGACTAGAGCAGAAGACAAAAGTTTCATTGCCCCAGTTTATGACACACCCCTAACACAGAATATACCTGAAGCATCTTAGATGCGAACGGATACTTCAACAACTTCAAGTAAGAAATAAAAATTAAACATTATTGCAGCCTGCGACGCCAGGTATCCCATGAAATACAGTCCCAAAAAGTTAAAGAACATCCATATCCATAATAGTCTCTTCCGTGTTAGGGGAAAAAATCTATTCATCACAATGATGATATCACGAGTTTATGTAAGACGTGTATCTACTTAAAAAACCTCTAAATTTAATCATCACAATTGCCTTTCTCGTTCAGCCTTGAGCGACCTTGACTTTGATCGATTAAGGGACAGTCTAAAACATCAGTAATTAATTTTTTATTCCATTGATTTGTTTTATACATTCATTAGTGAAGGGTAACTGGTATCACGAGGTTATGGTCCAGAGTTAAACGCAATGGCCAGCCGCGTACACGTTTAAATTGATAAATAATAACAAAGCAGTGATGTTAGATAATTTTCAAGCCGACTTGAAGTTGAAGTGGAGACAGTATTTGGCAGCGTCCTTTGGTAATGTATAACCCTTTCTTTGTGCATACGATTCTATGTAGTGATATAATCGTTACTGTTTACAAAATAAAAACAATAATAGTAAACAAAATAGGAATTGTTTTATATTCGTCCATTTATTTGTAACTTTTATGAGTGATTAAATAACCAGCTTTATTTATAGTTGTTCGTATTACTTCCTTCAATAACAAAAATAATGTTGCGATGACTAGGGAAAGGGTGATACAAAAATCAACTTTTTGCTATCTGAACATCGGACTACGGTTTTTCCAAAGTACCGATACATCCAGTCCAGGCTATTTTTACCGAGAATAATTGTGTATCATTTACATATAGAACTTGAATTTTGTCCTCGTTAAAAATCGTTGATAAAAAGATTACTTCGCTTTAGGTTAACGGGTCGTGTTGATTTTGGAATCTAATAAGTAAACATTTATTATAATTTAAATCCTGGAATTATTTTATGCGTTTTTAATTACTCAGTTTATATAGTACCAGCCCTTAGTACATTCCAAAACTAAATAGTAAATTTTTCGTCGAAAATTGAACTTAGGACCCAGTGCAATTACGTTTTCGTAAGTACCGATACAGCCAGGCTTGACTATTTGTACCGACAATAATTGTGTATCATTTACATATAGAACTTGAATTTCGTCCTTGTTAAAAAGCGTCGATAAAAAGATTTCTACGCTTTATATTAACCGGTCGTAGTGATTTTAGAAACCAATAATACATTTATTATAATTTCAAACCTGGAATTATTTAATTAATCACATTTATATACACTATCGGCCTTTAGTACATTTCAAACTGAAACAGTAAATATTTCGTCGAAAATTGAACTTCAAAATCCTTGAACAAATCTAAATAATTAACAATTGCAATTAATTATTTATTAATTTCTAGTCGTTGGAAACCAGTCTTAAAGTTCCGAGACCTCACTCATATTAATAGTCAAAATATTAGGAAACAGGAAGTTTGGAGTCACGGATATAAACCTCAGTTGCAATATGCAGGTTTGAATATCAAGGCCAGCCGGTTACTTGGGCATTAACATTCCGTCAAAAAGATCACGATCAAATGTACCGCAGTTACAGACTGTATATCTTAAGACAAGAATAACTTAAACTAGTCGAAAACTCTACCTAATATACAAAATCTCTCTGTTCTTGCTCCTTCTCTGAAATTAAAAAACAAGTGCGTGCGTACAAAGTACACAATATGTCAGAAGTGAAACTTCTTTGGCAAACTAATTTTTAACTCTTGTTTAACTTAGTGAGACTTAGAGGGAGGGAAAAAGGATGTTAGGAATTTAATGAATTTAAATGTCATTAAAATATTAAAAATGTCGAAAATAAATACAAATAATAAATTTAATTTTTTAAATTTATTTCTTCAATACTAAAAACACGTTTTAATTTACAATTCGTCATTTGAGATTTCAATAAATTATTTTGCATAAAATATATAAAATACTAATATTTCATAAATTCTCTTTACGAAATTTTAATTATAAAATAGAATTTCTATATGGTTATATAATTCACCCTTCTCACTCTCTCTCAATCGGTCTCAATCGTTCTCTCCCTTTTCTTCGACAAAAACGCTGCACATCTTCGTGACGTTCCGTAAAAATGTTACCCTCATGCGCCTAAAGAAGTTTCACTGCAAAAAAACAAGCCAGAGACACAAATATCAAGTGTACATGAAATCTAAATTAATCAAGTCGAGCTCTTTATAAGAACTTTTTGATTTTTTTAAAGGTACGGAACTTCTATCATAATAGAGAGTTCTTAATTTATAAGTTATGAGATACGTAGAATAATGACTTAATGAATAATTTAATTGCTTTGAATTACATTTGCATACTAGTTTGATATGGCTGATTATGTGCTTTTTGTTTCATCCATCCTAATATGTAACTGCTACTATCAAGGCAAATAAATGATTTTTAAATTAAAACAATCTTTAGATTATCTCCTATTGACTGTAAATATATAATACATAAATAAGTAATAAGTCGTCACTGAACACTATAGTAATATTTCCACAAATAATCCTAATCATCTAAAGCAGTTTGATATATACAAAGTAATCAATTTTAATAATACATAATAATAACTTACAAGAAATAACAATTCATTAATTTTAATAGATTATTATAAACTTCTCTCCTCTTTAGTAAAGTGTTTAAGCTGTGATAAAAAGACATATGAATACTTTAGTTAAAACGGTGCAATTAGGCAATTTTATCAAGTGGTTTGAATATAAATCTACGTATAACGCTTTAAAACTCCATTAATTACAATTTAGATGTTTGTATAAACAAAAGAAATTATCTAAATAAATATTGTAGCAGAGACATGACTGTGTAGAGGTGTAGTACTTATAGTACGTAGTATAGTGTAGTTATATACTTAGTCTTTGTTTTACAAGAATCCATTTAAATAAATTGTCAACAATGATCGGTGTAAAATTGTTAAGCTACGAATTAAGTTCGATGGCGGTTGTTGTATGGATATGTTAAAATCCAACACTTTGTAGCTGGGTAACAACTGGCTTTAGGGTCGATTCGACCAAACTTCAATTTATACACGAGTAACTATACCAGGAATAATCTATTCCATGATTTTAATCTCGAGTAAATCCATAGTCGTTTCTCCACGTAATCGATAGTATAATTGAGCTAGGAATAACAATACGCGAATAGCAAAGAGAATGGTGAACGAAAATAAAACTCGGCAAATAAATGTTGTTCTACAACGGGACAGTGTAAGAGCATACATCATGTCAACTCGATTTTGCCGTATTATAGTGTGAAAAAGTAGCTTTTAACAGGTGTCAAACGACAACAAAAAGTTTTTATTTGTTGTTTGTTTGAGGCTTTCGTCTAAAAAGGAACTTCTGTTGAGCCTAGTTGAATTTCATTCTAATATTATAAAAAATAAAAAATCTAAAAATAAATAAATAAATAATAAATTGTTTAAACGTTTCATTATACAATGCCAGACTATTAATTTAGTGCGTTGCGTTGACTTGAAATTAAAACACAGAATACATATTTGTGAAATGACAGAAATCAGATGATTGGACTGACTGACGCCATTAAATTATTCTAGGAATAGCTGTTATTCCGTGCGAAACGGCGGTATAGTAGCAATTCCCGAATAGGCCCACTATTATTATTTGTAGTTAAAGTTAACGTAAAATTAATTTACTCTCGATTAACTGACGATTTATTCTAAGATTAAGATTTACTCTTGTTTGGTCGAATCGACCCTTAATTGATTAAAACATGAGCTTAGAACTAAGATAACGTTAGTGGTCGCGACGCTGGATTAAAAAAAAACTAACTTGACTTATTGAAGAGTTCGTAAATCTAGTGACACTATGTTATTGGACATTATCTGAAACGAGAATGTTAGATTAAAATTAATGAGAGTGGTAAAAACTAATAATAATAATAATAATAATCTTTATTTCTTCTCTCACATATCTCTCACATAACTAAAGGGCTGGTTGGCTTCAAGTGTGTGATGATTGTTTACATTTTGTTTACGCTTTTAATTATTAACTAAAATATATATTCATACATGTAACTTAACTAATGTTAGGTTACATAACATACATAAAACTATAATAAGTTCGTATATAAGAACGTTAACGATTTTTTTATTTATCAGATTTTTTAATACCTATTATTTTAGCACAACGCGCAGATGCAATATTTGTTATCAAGAATAATTATAACAAAACAACGGACAAAAGCGTATTTTTCATGTCCACTGGTATATCTAATTCGATGTTTATTTGCAGCGAGCTATGGAAGCTTATGCACGGGCATGTCAATGGGCTGGACGTCTCCGGTCTTCCCGAAACTGCGCTCCGAAAACTCGCCTCTCCCTCAAATACCCACCCTGCAAGAGGAGAACTGGATTGGCTCCTTACTTGTACTGGGAGGGCTACTCGGTATGTATAGCGTAAATTTAAAGTAGTAACAATCCTGTGAGTCATGAATACTCGGTTTTTCTGATTGTTTTAAGTAACTCAACACGGAAGTAAGCGTTCAAGGCTCCCATCACTTCTCACTTGTTCCTCATTAGTTTTCCATAATGTGTAAGAAAGGTATGTTCTACATAATTAAATTGTATTAGAACCCCAGAAACAAACCAATCATAGGTAATGTTGTAACAGTGTGTTTGTCACTGTCCATGTCGACATCTATAATGCCCGAATTACACGACTAGTTACGGCTTACGGCTAGTTTTTCATGCTAGGATAGCAAGCTAGTGTCAGTAAGCTAGCAAGCTAGTACTTCTGGCTTCGTGTAGACAAAACTAGCTTCATTTCTGAGCTAGCTAATTTACAAGCCAGGATAGTTTTTAATAGGATGGAGTTCTATTTGTTTAGGATAGTAGCGCCCCCCACCACTGATTTTACTATCCTGGCTTGTGTACTAGTTCATGTGGCCGGCGAAGCTAGTTATCAGTTGGCTAGTAAGCAGGAACCACGCGTTTTGTTTATTTTTGTCACCGCGACGTGTTTTTGAGATTTTAAAATGCCCAAACTAAGTATTGATATTAATTTAAAGTTTGTACAACTGTACCGTGACCATGAATGTCTGTGGAACGCCACCCTTCCAAGTTATAAAGACAAATCTAAACGTGATTCAGCACTACAAAAAATTCTAGTGCCAATTGGCACAGTTTTTGAAGTAATTCATTCAGTCGAATAGTGTTTTTTTTTCACATGCAGCTCATTTTGGACGTGTGGTCAACTGCGAATTTGCAAAGACACGCCACAGGACGTCAACTGATATGGCTCTCACTTCTCTCGTTATTTTAGTCTTCAACAGCTCAAAATTCGCAAGAAGGGTATCATTAACTCTTGCTTTGAGACACCCCATAAAAAAGTCAGCTTGGGTTAAGTCGGGAGATCTGGGTGGCCACAATGTCTCCAAAGCGGCTTACGATTTTTCCCGGAAACAACGCTTTTAGTGTGTCCATGTCTGGACTGTGGCCCCATCTTGCTGAAACCATACACCTGATTTGTCAATATAAAATTAATAATAACTATATAATCTTTAGTTTTAGTTTTTGCTTTTCAGGGCCATTAATAACAGTGCCACTATTAAACCGCGTGGGCCGTCGTTGGATAGTAATGGGCTCCAACATTCCACTGCTGCTTGGCTGGCTACTTGCTGGAGTGGCCACGGACTTGCCCACACTGTATGCTGCAAGGATTATGTGGGGCTGTGCCACGGGCATGCAGTTTGCGAGCGTTCCGTTGTATATTGGAGAGATCGCTGAGGTATGACATTGTCAAACTATGTATTTAGAATAGTTATAGAAAATAAACCTCTTGTTTCTTATATATTACTAGCTGACCTGGCAAACGTCGTTTTGCCATGTATATCATTTATAATAAAAAATAGGGGTGGATCGTAGAGGGGTGAAAATTAGGGGTTGTATGTATTTTTTAATGCTGTATCATAAAAAAATATAAAAAATTAAAATTATCTAAAAATTAAAAAAAAATGTTTAGGGGTGAACTACCCTTAACATTTAGGGGGAAGAAAAATAGATGTTGTCCGATTCTCAGACATACCCAATATGCACAAAATTTCATGAGAATCGGTCAAGCCGTTTCGGAGGAGTTTAACCACAAACACCGCGACACGAGAATTTTAAATATTAGATTTCTATAAAATGAATCTATGATCGCCTATTTTAACGACAATTTAGAAGGTACATAGACCAAATTTGCGAAACGGCAGGTGGTACATGGCAGAGAGTGGCACAGGGCAGACAGTAATGGCGGGATTAGAAGGAGCTCTTTGCCAAAAAAGGGCACACAGATACCTGAAAAGAATGAGATTGAAATATAAATGTGTAAATGTAGCAGTGTAAAAGTATCTGAAATAAAATGCTATCATTATTATTATTTAACAACTTACTGTACCTATTTATTCATATTGTTTTGTATGTGTGGTCAAAACACACATACAATACAATATTAACTCAAGACAACCGCTATCCTTTCTATTTTCAATATTATTTAGAAATAAAATATGTAATGTTACAATTCATCCGTAAATTTTCAGGACAAAATTCGTGGAGCTTTAAGCGCTCTGTTCCTACTTTTCATTAACGTGGGTTTCCTGCTTGCCTACGCAATCGGCCCCTTCACCTCATACTGGGGTCTGACAGCAACTGGTGGTATCCTGTCCCTATTCTACATTCCATTTACGTGGCTCATACCGGAGACACCCTTCTTTTTAGTTTATAAAGGTAATACAATCACAATTAAATTAAGCGTTGGTACCGAGAAACAACGCTTGCTCCAATCTAGCTAGAATTGCCATTTTATAAAAAAATACTTTTTTAAATATAATTTTTTCATATATACATAGCATGAGTGTGTTAACATTAAAATCTTATTTTTAGGTAAAATCGAAGAGGCATCTGAAGTGCTTCAGAAGCTTCGTGGCCTTTCCAAGGATGGCGTGCAAGCCGAGCTAGATGGACTTCAGGCAATGATCGCCAGGGAATTCAAGACCGAACCCAGCATAAAAGACCTTTGGGCTACAAAAGGGAATTTGAAGGCATTAGGTTAGATTCAAGAGTTAACCAAAATGTATTATTAAAAAAAAAAATGTCAAGTTTAGGTGTAAACCAAAGATTATTATTAAGTAAGTTATTAATAATACAAGTACTGCTTGCTTAGATGACCTTGTTTTGCCAAATAAAAATAGCCTCTATTATGAGTAAGATTTCTGTAATGTGTCGATAAATTGCTATTTCATTACAGGTATTTGTGTTTTCCTCGCGATGCTTCTTCAGCTGTCAGGTATCGACGTACTGTTGTTCTACATGGAGGAGCTCCTGGTGAAAATTGGTACTACAATCTCAGCTACAGATGGCACCATCATCATGGGCGTTGTTCAGGTTATTCATTAGCCTTTATTGCCGACACCCAGTACAATGTAATAACAATTATTTAAGTTACATAAAAAAACACTTAATTCTAATACATAAATAAAACTTAATCTAATACGTCACTTGACCCGTTTTAGGTAGTCAGCGTGTCCTGTGACACGTAGGCCTCTTCCAGCTGTTTCCATTCTTTTCTGATATTAGCTCTTCTTGTCCAAGTTGTGCCTCCTATTATCTTTATATCGTCTGCCCATCTCTTGCTCGGTCTTCCTCGTTTCCTTTTTCCATCACGTGGTTGCCATTAACTTGCCACATTATAAAAGATAAGCTAGTTATATACGAGAATAAGCGTGAGAAATCTGAAAAAAGAAAGTGAAACTTCTCAGAATCTCCGAAACAATATCAACCTCAATCAACAAGTAAAAAAATAAACTTACTTGATTACTACGAAGCGCATGGCTCGAATTCAGGTTATTAGTCTTTAGTATATACTATATATACTTAGTATATACATAATTTAGGTTAATACAAAAGGTTATATTTATAAATTTACCATAACTTTAGCAAATGGTTTCTAAAATTAATTAATATGTTACACATATAAGGAAGATTTAATAGTTACTTCCGGTATAAAGTAGGCTGCTTCATATCTAGCTCACCGTCTACAATGTAAAGATACGACTAAAGGACTGGCTTGTTAGAAATACTTTTGAGACCTAGTATGTAGTTACACACTTTTTTCATTCACTCACTGACTCACTTACACATTTGCACCCACACACTCACTCATGCACTCAGGCGTGTTGATAACAGTTGAAAAGTAAATTAAATAAAATATGTAATTAAATTATGTATAAATATATTTGAAGGAATTTATACTTAATTTTGTTATGGAAGAGCTGGGAACCCTGACACAGGTATGTATTTCTTTAAAAAAAAAACCCTGACACAGGTATTTGTTAAAAGGGTTCCCAAATCTTACACATTGTAATGCATATGTACTTAAAATGAATAAACAGATTTTTATTTATTTAAAGTACGTTTGAAAATAATAGTGATTATCTTAAGTGGATACAGTTGCCCCCTGCCCCCTTGACGCTCTGATGGTCGAGACTAAGGGCAAACTAGACTTCTGTATACGTTTTTCGACATACGGAAGTCAAATATACCAGCGGCGCTACATCCTTTCTAGATCTGGGCCTCAGATTTCTGAATCTGTTTCATGATTATATACTTTTCTTAATAGACAAGTAGGTTATCAGCCTCCTGTGCCTGACAATAGCCGTCGACTTTTTTGGTCCGGCCTGCTTCCTGACGATGTTTTCCTGCACCATTCGAGCGAATGTTAAATGCGCACATAGACAGAAAGTCCATTGGTGCACAGCTGGGGATAGAACCTACGATCTCAGGGATGAGAGTCGCACGCTGAAGCCACTAGACCAACACTGCTATAGAGCAGAAGGAAGATATGCTAAGTGTCAAATTCGACTCGGAATTTTACCCTTAAATGATGTATTTTTAATTTGTGGGAAACATGAACAAATATACGAACGTTCTCTAAACTAATTTTAAAATTAGTTTCTTTAAGCCTTTAGGCATTTATATACAAAATTAATAAAATGTCTAATAATCAGGTGGTGACGAGTTGCATAACTCCATTGGTGGTGGACAGACTCGGCAGGAAGCTACTTATGTGGACCACTTCACTTGGACTTACAATATTCTTGGTAATGAACCGACGAATTGAATCTTTGCTAGCCTGGGCCTCTTAAGCCCAAGTCTCAACCCCTTAACATAGTTAAAAAAATTGATTTCTATATAATTTGATGATGAGTTGTATAATTTCTTTATTATTCGTTAAAATAAAGTCCCGGATAAAGACATTCTCACAGAAAGCCGTGTTCCAACTTGGTTATGAAAACATACTCTAAAACACTTTGCATAATGGTTGTTTCAGGGTATAATCGGTGTGTACGCACTACTGGACTCGCACTACAAGTACAACGTGGCGCCGTATGCGTTCTTACCTTTGTTATGTCTCATTGTCTACATGGTGCTTTTCACGTTGGGTAAGATTCGATTTTATATAGAGAAATGTCTTTGATACGAATGTGAAATTTAGATCCGTTATGATAAAAAATATTACCTAATAGGTAATAATTATGTTACAACATTTCAAAACCAAAAGAAAAAAGACTTCGTAATAGAATAATTTAATGTTTCTCGAGATTGTAAAGTACAAATATGATTTGTAGAAATAACAATTTTTAAACTTTACGTCTGGTGAATACCATTTTAAGTTTAAAAATAAAATAATGAACTATTTCTTAAAAACTATTTACGATATTTTTAGTTTTCGAGAACCCATATGTAATTAATAATGTAATATTATTTTATAGGCGTGGGTCCCGTACCATGGATTCTGGTAGCGGAGATGTTTCCGCCCCGAACCAAGTGTCTCGCCAGTGGTATTGCCTCTTTCTGTTGCTGGACGGCCGGTTTTGTGTGGACACGGTAATATACAAAATGATTAAATCCTTTGTTATTTTCTACGTGCTTTACGCCCTTACCACTAAACCGAATTTCATTAATTTTAAGACTTATTGTGCTGCGATTAGATCTAACTCGTTAATACTACGAAAGCCCGTTCAAATATTATTCTATAATACTGGTGTACTAATTTTGTCGCATCAAAACCTATCGAACCCATTTACTATATGTTACCAATACATATTTTAAGTTTTGTTTTTACGATCCCATTTCGTAAATATTAAATATACAGTAGTACACAATCTTTAACAGGCTTACAATTATAATTGTCAATGTTTAACACATTAAATTGTCAAAAAATATTCAGATTTTTCCGCGACGTCGCGGCCTCTTACGGGATATACACAGCGTTTTGGGTATTAGCCATTTGCTGCGGCTTCGGCTTCATATTCTCCATTAGCCCGTTGCTTCCGGAAACCAAAGGGAAAACTTTCGACGAAATACAGGACATGTTAAATAATAGGTAAGTTGATAAGCTAATATGTAATTTCATGGTTTTTAAAGTATCATAAATAATGTAGATAATCAATTTAGAGAAAATTATATTTTTAAAATAGAGAAAAGTTAGTTAAATTTATTGTCTATGGTGTGGAAAAAAAGGTTTAACTGTGCATTTCAAACACACCATAAAATAATGCATAAAGACTCAATATGAACCTTAAATTAATTTTGATAATTAAAACAAATATTTTGGAATGTAAAAAAATAACCACATTTATAATCCTTCTTTTCAGATCAAATGAAAACAAACCAGTCGATGTATAGAAGATATAAATAATTGTTAAGTTTGTAAATTTCGGTACAATAAAATAACTAGAAATTGCTAAATATATTATTCATAATAAATCTTATAAAATAGTCATACAATATAATCTATCGCTGGAACTGAAGGGGGCAGATTCGTAGTCCCAACGCATCTTTCCCCACTTCTGCTACTCCACAAACAGTACAAAGTTTTCCCTTGTGTTCGGGGAGGAAGCTTGCCCCACAGAGGGGGCACTTTTCTTCTGGTTTCCCTCTGTATATGGGATGGTAGCTAATACCACAAATACTGAAGGGGTTGTGCTCGTCGTATAATAATTGGTGTTCATCTGAAAAGTATTACAGCTATAGTCAAACAGATAATTCGTAGGGTAAAAGTCAAACATTTAGTATTGTAGTAAAAAATGTTCGGCATTTACTTTTTTCCTGAACACGTTTTCCTAGCTTAGTACTGAATGTAAATTTTTCGATAAATTTTGGAGGTAATAAAATGATTTTTTTGCTAGGAATCAAACCCAGTACTACATATTTATTATTAACGTTAATTGAACCATAAAAGTCAAAAAGGTAGTAGATTAAAAAGTTACACGTGTAGGACATAGGGCAGTCAAGTTTTTGATTATCATTTCCTACTAATATTTAATGCAAATACGTGCCTAGCTGTATGTTCACACGAAATATATATTTTTCTGACGGCAATATAACTCGGGGCTTACTAAAATGGTTGAAAACGTAAAAATTTAAATAAAATGTAATGTACTCGCGTTAGAAGTTATACTTCTTTGGCGGAAGATAAATATCTTTTCTAAAATTATTCTACGTATGTAGAAAAACGACACTAACAATAGAAAAAACTTAAATGTTGACTATAGCTAACTTCACGGTGTCGGTTTTTTGTGACGGTGCGCTCGCATCGTAAAAATTTACTCTCATCATTTTTCCCTAACGCGCCAAAAGAAGTATAACTTCAAAAAAAATCTGTAACTGTAAAGACAATGAAAAATAAAATAGCTATCATAAAAACCAACCTGTCGGCGTTTTCTCGCAAGCCTGCAATATTTTCCTGGCCTGCTGAGCTACTTCTGGCCTCGGGCCCAATTCCAACAATCTCCTGGCAAAGGAGGCAGCAGTTCTGAAGTTCTTCAGCTTGAAGAACATATTAAGAGCAGTTCTGAGGGTCAATATCTGATGTACGGGCTGAAGTTTGCAATGAGTGAAGTACGCGGCCATTTCACATGTGCGCTTTTGTTCCTCCAATGTATTCTTCGGCATTGCTGGAAGGTATTTTATTGATTGGGTTATAACGTAATTAATGTTCCTATATTTGTAACCATGATTTTAATTCTTAAGATAATACAGATACATTGTATTCATGTATGTACATGTATTCTTCTTTCAAATCCCAAAATGGATTCCCTAAAATAGGTCATTAAAAGCGTATTTTACAAGATAAAACTGAATAAGCTGAAAACATTCAAATGGACCTTCCGGAATAAAACGAAATCAATTCATTACTTTAAATTTTTTTATCTAATAAACTCCTTTAATGTTAGACGTTGTACCCTCAAAACAGATCTTATAAAATTAGTTTATGGTTTAAGAGCATGTTATCTTCATATCAGAGCATAGAGCTGAGAGCAGGAAGCGAATGGAGAAAACTCAAAGGCCTTAACCCGGAAGGGGTTCCGATCGACTGTACTAAAGGTAGCTAGGATAAGATTAAAATCATGTATAAAATGTACAAAATCACAGCATACTGTATAATAGTATTTTTTGTCATGTTTGGAAATTAATCAGGCTTTTTATTATTATCTTCATATCTCAATCATTCTATAAGAAATTACAATAATGATGCAGTGCTCAAAAATAACCTTTCTCGATATAAAATACTTAATATTATACTTAAGAAGGTATAAAACGAAAGGTGGTCCAATCTAAAGAGGGGATCAGTCGATCCACTAACTAACCTAGATACCTACTGATGTCGAGAGGTTACATACTCAGCTGGAACAACTTTTTTTTAAAACTGCGAGTGCGTTGCCGGCCTTTTAAGAATTTGTAAATTTACATCGCTATTGTATCGCAATCAATCGCGAGATGGTAACTCACCTTTCCTAGCGGTTTCCATCTGAAGTCCAAGTAGATATTCCCGGCTGATCGCCAGCAATTGTTGCGCTTCAGCCAGCTCTTGTTTACTATCAACCAATAGTAGGGGGACAAGTCTAACGACCCGTTGCAAGCGTTCCACGGCCTCCGTGAATTTACCACTAGTTGTCAGTTGGTAGCATTGTTGGAGTTGGCTCACTAGGTCATTTAGTTTAGCAGCTGAAAATTAAAAAAAAAATTGCTTCTTATTTGTTTACAAAATATTTAAATGGATTGTTTACTTTTATAAGTATGTAACTGTGGCTGAGAGTTTCATGAGTTATTCTCGTAATAAGATAATAATTATATCTTTGTGTAATAGTAAAAACTACTGGACCAACTTAAATATTTTCTAAATGTCTATGCTTTAAAAAAGTAAAGAATTCTACACACGCAACTTACAAAATAAAAAAATTAAAGTGTAGAGAATGAAACCATAATATAAAATTAAATAAAAATAGAAAATTTAAATATTGGATATATCCTAGAAGTTTCACAGGTAACAAAAATAAATTATATATATTCATACGCACTGATAACAGGTAACAAGTCCTTGCCACTGGCTTCCTTCCAATTCCGATGTAGGTGCGCTTGTAAAGGAGGCAACGACGCAAGCGCACTGAACATCACGCGACCACAGGAGTACATGGATAGCATTGTTTCGGAGTATGGCTCGAAATTCACTATACCAACTTGCTCGTTTAGTAATCTGCAATTAATTTTAATATGAAGTCTATAAAAGAGCGACTGTATAGAACTGCAATCTTAATTTATCTAATAAGTAATATTTGTCCAGGCCGCGCAAATATATATGTATGTATAAAAATTAGCGACCTACCGACATTTCCAAAGAAAAAAGGAATTATATTATCGGCATACAACAATTTAGTAAGGATTAGTTAGTTTTATTAAGTACTTAAGTTAGTATTTAAGTTAGGCAAGTTAATTACATAGATCAACAGTGTAGTTATTTTTTATTGTTGTCGCGAAACATGTATGATTTGGGATAATAAAATTATTACGACCTTAAACTTTACTATGAAAACTTAATGTTCTACATTATACGTAAAGAACTTAATCTAAGATAATGTTCATTAAAATTCTTAGTGTTTCAGCAGCACGTTTACGCGACCATGTACAAGTCGTTAAAGTTTTTTTACTTACAATTTCCCACGATCTTTACGATAGTGCAAGTATTTGTATTCGTTATTATTGACGAATTTATATATTTATATAAGATAGCTTGAACGCACGATTTCTTTACAATTTAATTAATTTCGTGGTGTAATTTAAGGTTGGGGGCACGGGGTTTCAGTTCAAGTACCCTTTAAACTTTAACGTCTAGCATATAATATCCTAATGTATGTTCGTTCGTATCCTTTAATACTTTTCCATTGCGTCTACTTTTCTGTTTAAAATATTCACCTGAATGCGATTTCGAATTGTCCGGTAGTGACGAAATCATGAGCCGTCTTCAGTTTTCCGCCAATTGCTATTGAAACACCTCGCGTCGGAGCCACAAAGTACTGACCGTCTTCAGCGCCATCTATATCCGCTGAACGCATAACGACCATTAGTTTTAGTTTAGAAGACTGTTGATTCCTATATCTTATGAAAAAATATAAACGAGACTGAAAATATTTAATTTATTTGAAAAAAGTAAATAAAATCACTTTATTAATGCTAAACTAGTTAACAGATAGAAACGCAAATTTCTTACACCGTCAATAGATGGCGTGAAATTAAGCCACAGTATACTACTCTTACAATAATATCAGATAGTAATATACTAACACGATGCGGACCACTATTGCGGTACATAAAACGTTCAATAATGTAGTACAAAGCTATTGATCGGTTAAAGTTTTATTTAAACCGAAATTAAACCAAAATTGAATAAGAAACAAGTGAGCGTTTCTTAAGGCAGTTTTTGCCGCGCACCACCACTATGTGGAACCAGCTGCCCACTGAAGTATTTCCGAACCATTTTGACTTAGAGTCCTTCAAGAAAAGAGCGTACCAACTCTTGAAAAGCCGGCAACACACTTGCGAGCCTTCTGGCAATGTGAGTGTCTATGGGCGGCGGTATCACTTAGCATCAGATGAGCCTCCAGCCCGTTTGCCTCCTACTACATAAAAAAAAAACGAAAATCGAAAATGCTAAATGTTTTTGGGAAACTATGACTTTAAGGTAAATGTCGTAACCAGTTGTTCTTGCTCTAGCAGGTCAAGGAGTGAGAGTTAAATTGAAATTTAAAAACCTAATCAGTATTAAACAAGTTGTTACCTGATACGGGCGCCAGTTCCTCGGGAAGCTCTAGGTCCTCGTCTCCAACGTCCCAGCCTCCATCTTCACCCGCGTCTTCTACCGCTTCGCCTTCTTCGCCTTCCTGCTGGATATATATTTTATCGTTTATGTATGTATATTATCATAAAAAATCGTTTTCTCAGAAATGTTTTTAGATTTGAGCAGGGTTATAAGGTCGTAAGGTTCGAACCACGGCTGTGCACCAGTGGACTTTCTTTAAACACTCGCTCGCACCGTGAAGAAACGGGCAGGCTTAAAAGGTTGTAGCGCCACTAGTTTATTTATTTATTAGTAATCTTAAAACAGCTCAATCAACCAACACATATCCATATTATAAAAGAAAACACTTAGACAATACAGATAACATTGATAAACAAAATATATGAAACAGAAAACAAAAGCACAATAGACAAAAAAAAATACTGAAATTAAACCTTAAACAATCGACAATTAATACATAATATATAGAATAAAAATATTTAGGGGTGGACTACCCTTAACATTTAGGGGGATGAAAAATAGATGTTGTCCGATTCTCTGACATACCCAA